GGAGAGCAACGACCTCGCATTCGGACCCCTCCACGCTCTCCATCTGGGAATGTGGGGAGGGGCCACTGGCAGCGGGAAAGCCGCGTGTCGGAGAGGAGAGAATCTGAACCTCACTTCCCCGTTCCCATCGCTGGTCGGTCCAGGGGGCCGAGGTAGGGCTGCTAGGAGGGAAGGAGTGGGGACGGCAAGATCTGAGAACAGGGCAAGACTAAGGGCCGGCAGATGGCGAGGAGGGGGCGGGATGGGAGACGACGGGGAAGGGGGGTGTGGGTTTAGGGGATAAAGTAGGCAACCGCCGGAGTAACACCGCAGGGGGTCAAATCTTTCTGTACAGACCCGACCTGCCAGTGCTCCCCACCCTCATGCTCAATTGCCCGCTTTGGTCCTTACCTGGACCCTGGGCGTCCGGACACCTGGCTGGGGCCACCGGTTTAGGGAGGGACGCCAGCCCTTAACTACCTGTCCCCCTTCTGCCTCCGCCCCTGACCTGACATCACTGAGGGGGAAGAGGAGGGGGAGAGACTGGAGGCAACCTGCCCGCCCACCTGGGCAACCAGCCAGCCCCTGGCCCAGAGATGGGCACAGCTCAGGGCCCCAGTGCGGCTGGGGGGCGGAGCAGGGTCTCGAACCGATGCCGGTTCCCTTACCTGGAGAAGCCCCAGCGGAAACAGCAGGACACGGGCCCGAAGTCGGGCTCTCTCTAAGGTCCCCCAAATACCTGGGCGTCATTCAAATCCACTCCTGCTTCTCTACAGGTGGTGTGAGAGTGTCCGACTTTGGACGTAGAAGTCGAGGTGGGGGAAGGAGACTGAGCCCGGTGTGCCTCGGCTCCAGGCCAGGGGAAACTAAAATTATCTTGGACAGGTGGGGGCGGGGCTTGGGAGGAGGAAGCACCGGAGGAGGGGCGGGGACTCCCAGACACTACGCTGGCTGAGGTTGTTTTTGCCCTTCTTAGCCTGGAAGCAGGTGCTAGCGGGGAGGCGGGGAAGACCGTCGAACTGAACCGCCTGGAACCAGAGTCCACGTGACCATGGAGGGCGGGGCTGGGACTGGAAGGTGAAGGGATGGCCCCGCCCACTCTCCCCCACACCTCTCTCCAAACCTGGTCTGTTCATTGGCCAAACTAGGGGGCCCGCCTGCCATTCTGGGTCCCACCCTGGGGCAAAGAGCACTTGGAGAGAGAGGGAAGCCTGCCAGTGGGGTGTCCAGCAACATGACCTGCCCCTTGACCTCTAGTCACAACCTGGCCACCCAGGCTGCACCCTGGACCCTCAGAGACACCAGGATATGTCCTCCCCTTTGAGCAAAGTCCAGGGTCTCATTAGGGTCTCATGGTGGAAGGAATACCGTGATCTGGGAGGAATCACAGGCCTGGGTGCCAAAAGACTCCCTTTAGACATCACTTCAGCACTAGGAAACACAGGGCAGGCCAGGGAGACGGCCATAGAGCCGCAATCAAAGGCAGTGGCCACCACCCAGTCTGAAGTGAGTGACAGATGGGTAAACAAACAACCCATGAGTGATAAGAAGTCTCACCTGGGGAGTACTGAGGAGTGACTCCAGCCCCAACTTTCTCCAACTGAGTATTCCTTGAAAAACCAGTATGTGTAAGTGGACCAAACAAAGGTGTGGGGGAGGGGGCAAGGTCACCCGTGCCCCAGAGCAGTTCATGTAAAAGCAGCATGGACAAGTCACTCATTCCTGCCTTCCGCCATTCACCTGACACTTGTTAAGTGCTTACTATATGCCAACCCCATGCTTGGTACTGAGGATACAGTTGTGAGCAACAAAAACAAACCCCACCCTTGTCCTCATCCAGCCCTGTTAGGGAGACTGATATTAATCAAATAGTAAAGATGACAGAGGACGAGTATACCTGGAGGATGACTCACCAAGGAATTAGGGAAGATTTCTGCATGGAAGTGACAACTGAGTCAAGGGAAGTTGTCTGGAGCAAGGAGGAGGTTGAGACTGGTGAATAGAGAGGGGGGCGAAGGGACAAGGATGAAGCCTTTGGCTGGAGAGTAAGCAGAGGCAGAGTGGGGGTGGAGGAGAGGTTCAGGACCACGTGGGGAAAGGCAAGTGCTTTTGGACTCAGTTTCTCCGAGTGTGACCAAACCCAGGGGTCACTTGCCTCCAGCTTTCTATAAGCTTGTATAAAAAAAAAATTCCTGCGCCCCTCCCCACCCAACTGAAGGTCAGTCTCTGGAGCAGAGACCCAGGAATGTGTGGTATTGACAAGCCCTCAGGTGGTTGTTCTGTAAACCGGGTTTAAGAGCCATCCATCCTGTCTGTCCAGACTGGCAGGATTTATGGGCAGAGGCCAGACCCTGAAGGGTCCATCAGGGCTTAAATGGAGGGACAGGGCAGTGGAAAGATTTATATTTTGGAAATACCAATCTGAATGTTGAAAGATGGGGCAAGAAGCCACAGAGGGTCTGTGTGTCAGGATAACAAAAAGATACATTCAAGTAGGTGAGTTTTACTATATATAAGTTGCATCTGAGTTTTTATTTTAATTTTTTAAACATTTATTTATGAATATAGAACTGGAGTATAAGCCAGAGGTGTTGGGGATGAGAGGATTAATCAGAGACAGAGTGGGGAGCGGAACAGGCACACTGATGAAGGACACTGCTGAGGGGAGCAGTGGGGGAGACAGGAGAGGTCTGCTGCACCATGTGGGTCACTACCCTGGCCAGGGATTGAGCTCATGCTGCAGTGGCTGTGGAGAGCTTCACAATGCTGTGCTTTAATCTGTTGTATCACCAGGACGGGTCCTGTATCTCAGCTTTTAAAATAAAAATGGGAACAACAACACAAAATAGATTTATAGATCAATGGAACAGAATCAAGAGTCCAAACATAAACCTTTACCTTTCTGGTCCATTGATTTTTGACAAAGTTGCAAACACAATTCAGTGGGGGAGAGGAGAGTTTTTCTGACAAATGGTGCAGGGACAGTTAAATATTCACATGCCAAAAGATGAATTTAGCTCCTTACCTCACATAGTATACAAAAAATTAACTCAAGATAAATCTTAGACCTACATCTAAGAGCTAGAACTATAAAGCTTCTAGAAGAAGCTATAGAAGAAAATCTTTGAGACTTTGGGTTAGACAAAGGTCTTAGCTACACCAGCAAAAGCACAGTGATGAAAGTACACTGCCCTTCCTGGTGGCGCAACTGGTAAAAGCACAGCACTATGAAGCTAATGCAGCCACTGTAGCATGGGTTCAATCCCCGGGCAGGGAGCTGACCCACATGGCACAGCAGCCCTCTCCTGTCTCACCAGCTGCTCTCCTCAGCAGTGTATTTCAGTAGGTCTTCCTACTCTGCTCCCCACTCTGCTCTGACCTGTATCCCAGTTCTGTATGCATAAATAAATCTTCAAAAAAAAGAAAAGGAAAAAAAGAAGTTAGACTTAATCAAAATAAAAATTTTGCACTTTGAAAATGCTATTAAGAGAGCATGTTTAAATCTTCTCCAGGAATGGGAAGAGATACTCCCAAACCATATATCTGATTAAGGACTTTGTATCCAGAATACATAAGGAACTCTTGCAAATCAATAACAAAGACACAAACAACTCGTTTAACACCCAGTGAACGATTGCAGTAAATATTTTTCCATATTAGCTATATGAATAACTAATAAGCACATGAAGATGAAGCTCAACATCATCTGACATTAGAGAAATGCAAGGTAAAACCACAACAGCATATGCCAGCTCAGATACCTCCAGGACGGCGAGAATAAAAGGTAGACAACAGGCACAACTAGGCTGTGGAGAAACGAGTCCTTGTATGCTGCTGATGGGAATGAAAAATGGTACCGCCACTTTGAAAAATAGGTTGGCAGTTTCTTAAAAAGTTAAACATCAACTTACCACACAAGCCAGCAATTCTACTCTTGGGAATCTACCCAAGATAAATGGAAACCTTTGTCCATACATAAAGACACTCACTTGAACATTCGTAGCATTATTCGAAATAGCCTAAAACTGGAAACTCAAGCGTCCATATCATAAAAGATACACTACTCAACAAGAAACAAAAAGCATGATACATGCTATTGCATGGTGAACTTCAAAAACGTTATACTGAAAGAAGCCCGAAGCAAAAGACCACATATTGTCTGATTCCATCTGTATGAAATGTCCAGATAAGGCAAATTTATACAAGCAGAAATCAGCTAAGTGACTGCTAGGGCTAGAGGTGGGAGCTGGATCAACTGGAGAGACCTTTTCAGGTGACACAAGAGTTCTGTAACTGGATTATAGTGAGGGTTGCACAATGCTACAAATTGCTGGTTTGTTTAAACATGAATGTTTTAAAGGAATATGCTAGAATATGTTAACTGACTTATTAGGAAACTTCCAGGGAGGGAAGAGGCAAGAGACTTAGCCTCCATTTCAAGAGCTTCAAAATGGGACTACAGATGCCAGCCCAGTAGTGAGAGTGGGTTGAGACAGATTGGTGCAGAAACTGAGCGCATATGATGCACATGAGCATGGAGCCTGAAGTGGACATCCCAAAGGCTAAGGACGGCAAATGAAGGGGGAACGGGGTCACTGCCCCAGCTTGTGGCAAGTTTAGAGTTTGAGTCGGAGTACTTGGGTATGTAACTATGGGATGGTTTAAACTGTCGTCAGCGTGTGAGCAAAAAATGAGAAGTTTTTCATACTATTGGCCAATCTCAGGTTCGCTTGCCCCACTTCGTATTTCTTTTGTACACTGGAAATCCCTTTGCAGAACAGATTCATTAGATTAAATAAGGTCGTGAAGTTCAGGCAGACACCAAATGCGGTGCAAGCCTAGAGACCCGAGCAGAGCATCGAGCCAGGGAGACCGTCTGGACTGGTCTGCCCGGATCAGAGTCCTGGATCTGAGGATCACGTCCAAAACGCTGCCGCCTCTGTGGCCTGCAGGGGGCGCGCGAACACAACTCGCGTCCCCACTCCGCCCCCAGCAGCTCCGCCCCATCACGTGCCCACGGCGTCGCGTCACACCCGGAAGCAGAGACCGGAGCGGAGCCGGCAGCGATGAGCGGGGAGCTAGGGCCGACGTCCGTAGCGCCCCCTCCCGGGGAGGTCGAACCGGGCAGTGGGGTCCGCATCGTTGTGGAATACTGGTGAGCAGCTTCGGCCGTGGGGGGGTCCGGGCCGGATCGGGGCGAATCCACAGGGGGCCCCCCAAAACCCTAGTGGACCCCAGATATCTCCCCCCTAGTGAGCCCTGCGGCTTCGAGGCAACCTACCTGGAGCTGGCGAGTGCAGTGAAGGAGCAGTATCCTGGCATCGAAATCGAGTCCCGCCTTGGGGGCACAGGTGAGGCCGCGGAACACCTGCTGAGTCAGCGTTCTAAAATAAATCCCAGCTCTACCACTTCCTAGCTTGGGCATTGGCCGCTTTTTTAGTGTCCCGCAGTGTCTGGCACACAGTAAAATGCCCGGCCAACGAGGGTCCCCTCCTTCAGAAATGAAGGGGTCAGATGAAGCCTGTAGGGAAAACCGATGAAACTAAAGAAGGGTAGAGCTGGGAGCGAACCCTGAACCCTGAGCTCAAAGGTAGAATACACTGGGGAGTCTCCCTGAGGTTCCTGTGGCTTGATCTGCCCTTGGGAAAAGACTTTAAGGAACTACCAGTGTGAAGTCTAAATCCAAGTGTGGATGGCCCCGTTTGGTGGCTTCCCCTAACTTTTATGTGTTCTCAGTGTAAGTTTATTCATTGGTCTAATACCAGGGGCCTTTGAGATCGAGATCAACGGACAGCTGGTGTTCTCCAAGCTGGAGAATGGGGGTTTCCCTTATGAGAAAGATGTGAGTATTTGCAAAGTTGGGAGGGCACCCCGCCCCCCGGGCCACCCTGCCTCTAGATCACATCACCCCACTCCACATCTCTACTCTCTAGCTCATTGAGGCCATCCGAAGAGCCAGTAACGGAGAACCCTTAGAAAAGATCACCAACAGCCGTCCACCCTGTGTCATCCTGTGACCACGTGTGTTCTGGGTTCCTGCTGTTCTGAGATTCAAGCCCTTGCCTACCCTCTGGTCCTGCTGGGGACTCTTCCTGCCTCTTTCCCCCAATTAGCTCCTGGTAGCTAAGAGACCTGGGTCTCTATCTACTTGACCCCTTTGGGCTCAAGAAGGGAATAGAGAGACCCTTGGGAGGTGAGAGACCCTTTCCGTGGACATCACTACAATCACCTTATAAGCCCCCCCACCTCCCTGGATCAGTGTCCACAAAAACCCAGTCCCTTCTCCAACTTGGCAATACCTGCTGGATGCCACCATAATTCTAATTTATTTTCCGTTGCCGTCGGCAATGTCAGCTATTGGCAATAAAGTGGCACTACAAACACCTGTGCCAGCTGGTGTGATTTTATGTCCAATCTGGGAGTGTGTGTGGAGGGGGCAGCCACAAAGGTCACCCAGCCTTTATACCAGAGTGGTTGTGTTGGAGAGGTGGACTTTTAGTGGTAGCTACCTATGGTTAGTGACCTCCTCTCTCAGAGCCAAGGCAGGGAAAATGAGTCACACAGCAGACACTGCCTCTTTCCTCCATCCCTCCTCCAACCCCTGCCCTACAAGGAGGAAATTACCCCATTCTGGTGGGGCCTCAGGGACCTCTTTTTTCTGAGCAAAAATGGTGGTTGTGAAGGACTCTCAGCTCAGAATCCCAACTCCTGGACTTCCCCAACCCAGAAGCCCGGACACCTAAGCTTCTTGAAGATCCCTACCCACTCCCTCCAGGAAGAGATGAGCTGCTAAGGCAGGAGATGGCATTGCCACCCTCAAGGCATAAGCTGGTGTCCAGCTGTTTTCCAAAATATATTTGCAAGTGGAGAAAGTAAGTATGGAGAAGGGACGTCCCTTTCCCAGTCCAGGGACCCACACCCCTTCCACAATACCCACTCTTCCTGAGTCCTTATTTCATCTTTTAAAAAAAGTACAAACAAAACAAAACAAAACAACACTCTGTACAAGGCTGGGTCAGGGCACTGCTGCCCCTGACTTCTAGGGGCAGAGCCGAGCCTCAGGGACAGTCTGGGTGGGTTACTTTGTTCCTCGCCTCCGGTGGGGCGTCTCCTCCTCTTAGGCCCGGCTTCTCTAAGTCTGTCAGTGCCAAGGATTTGGAAGAGAGCCGGCGAGGCTGTTCCCTCAGGAGGACAGGCTGTGGTCTCCATCGGAGCCTAGAGTCAAGTGGCACAAGGCTTCAGGATGGATTGGGACTCCCCGGCAGGCTCCACCTTCCAACCAGTCTGGGTACCTCTCAGCCACTCAGGCCCAATAGGAAGGAAGACTCCTGGCGGCAGGCTCCTCTCGAGCCTTGTCCTGAGGCAGGCGGGCAGGAAGTCAGGCCCCTGCTCCCTGAGGGTACAACGGAGCCTCAGTGGACTGGGCCTTTCTGGCTCACACTGGCACATCCAGGCCCAGGTACTCAGGGTTCTCTGCCGTAGGAGTCCCTTCAAAGGTGCTGGGTGGAGAACCCCGCTCTGATGGGTCCTGGTCCCAGTAATAGAGGTTGTCAAAGGCTGGGCTGAAGGTCGGAGGAGGATGGGGCTGAGCAGCTCCACCCCGGGATGCTAAGTACTCGGGGTTCTCCACAGCACCCCCGAAGGCAAAAATGTCTTTAACAACCCCATTCTTTCCTGGGGAGAGAGTCTTGGGGGAAAGAGTCTTGGGCCTTTCCAGAGTGGCACCAGCAGGCCGAGGGGTCAAAGGGCCCTCTAAAGGCGAAGGGGGTTGTGGCCGAACGTCTGGCTGGTTCACGTATTCTGAAAGGGCAAGAGAAAGGGGCTTGTTAGGGAGAGGGACCCCACTACCCCTGATGCCTCCCCGACAGTGGGCACTGGGCTGAACACCTCCAGCTCCCCGACCTCCCAATCTCTTAGCTTGGGCCTGTCTCCCATACCGGGCTGGGTGCTGCAGGTCAGGGGGGCAACGTAACCATCAGTCTCTGGGGGCAGGGATACTGTGGGATCCTCGCTGTACCGCTGGAGAGGGCTGGGGTCATGGGCGAGGCGCTGCAGCCCTTTGGCTGCCCCCATTCCCAGGTCACCATCGAACACATCAGAGCCGGCCGCTTCCGAGGGAGCCAGCGGAGACCTGGGGGGCCCCTCTTCTGAGGGCTCCAGCCCCAGGGCCAGTTCAGCACCGCCACTCTGGGGGCAAGAGAAAAGGTCACATTGGTCATTCCTGCATCTGCTGTGGAGACACTGAGATGACAGGGTCACAAGACATAAGCAAAGATCACCTTTGGGGCAGGACACGTCACCTTGGAGAGAATGAGGTGGCGGGAGGGGGGGAGCCAGTAGGAATCCTCCTTCGGGATGAGGGCTCCATGGAGGGGGACATTAGAGAGAGGGTGGGGTTGGGAGGGGGAGAGCCAGACACGCCCGCCAGTGTGACCAAGGGGACTGACCCTGGTGGATGAGCTTCGGTGTCTGCGGTGGCCTGTGCCCCCCGTGCCTGGGGCAGGGTCTGGGCAGAAGAAGCCCTGCTGGGGTACCAGGTACTCCTCAGCATCCACCAGGTCCCCCATGTCGTCATCCTCCAGCAGCGAGCGGTAGAAAGTGCTGTCCAAGGGGCTGGCAGGCCCCAAATCCTCATTCTGGGGAGGAGGGAGACAGTGGCAGCCTCTGCCCAGCCCGGCACTCAGCCCTCCTGAGGGAGACTCAGAGGACAGGTGGTGGGCTGCGTTGGGCAGGGGCAGCCTGGAGGCCTGGGGCCCGGGGGGGGGCGGGGGGTGAGCTCCCCCCTCCCGGAGAATGCTTACGCAAGGAGGGGTGGAAAGGTCCGTACCTGGATAACCACAAAACGCTGGGGGTCTCTGGCCATGCGAGAGAACTCGGCCACCAGCTCCCGGAACCGAGGCCGACATTCAGAGTCGATCATCCAACCTGGGGCAGGAGGAAGCTCAGCCCCTCAGTTCTGGCTGCCTCCCGTGTGCAGGCCCACCCCGCCCTCTCTACTCTGATCTGGACAACCCCAATTTGTTGGAGCTCAAAGCTGTCAGGGTAGTGGAGAAGAGGTTGTAGATTCAGGTCTACAGCCAGAATCTCCGGGCTTCCCTACTCACGACCCCTTTTTATTCACTTAACTGTCTTCTCTGATTGGTCCTCAGCCAATTATACTTGATAGGGAAGCCAGGCCCTCCCTGGTGGCGCAGGGGGTTAAGTCTCAGCACTATGAAGCTGTCAGCGGCTACTGCAGCACAAGTTTGCTCCCGGGCCCGGGAGGTGACCCACATGGCACAGCAGACTCCTGCTCCCCTCAGCACTGTATTTCAGTACAACTGCCTGTTCGGTTCCCCACTGTCTCTGGTGAATCCCCACACCTCTGGCCTGTGCCCCAAGTGTATGCATAAATAAATAAATCTTTAAAAAAAGAAGAGAAGAAAGGGAAGCCAGATCCTTTGGGACCCCTGGATCTATACATGTCCTGCTCCTGGCCCCTTCCTGTCCCTTTGTTGAATCCTCCTTGGAGGACCTTCACCACCCTGTCCCCTCCCAAACAGCAGGCACAGCGCAGCCACGCACATTTGACCATGATCATGTAGACGTCAATGGTGCAGATGGGGGGCTGGGGCAGCCGTTCCCCTTTCTCCAGCAGGTCAGGGATCTCCCGGGCTGGGATCCCATCGTAAGGCTTGGCCCCAAACGTCATCAGCTCCCACACAGTCACACCTGGGGCGGAAATGGGGTAGAAGGTGGAAGAATAGAAGGGCCTTAGTGTACCAAGCCCCAGGCTCTAAAGAGCCTGACAGCAAGCGGGAAGGAGGAAGGAATGTAACTCCAGTCCCTGGGAATGCACAGACCTGGCTGTGGGGCCACTGGCAACCCTTCCTCCCCTCCCCATGGGCCTAAGGTATCTGTTACTTCTCCGCCACCCCAGCTCTCATCCTGCCACCAGCACCCCAGGGGAACCACCCTCGCCCCTCCCCTCCTGTTCGCACCGTAGCTCCACACATCACTCTGGTGGGTGAACCGCCGTCGGAGAATGGACTCCAATGCCATCCACTTGATGGGCACCTGGGAGAGCAGAGACGTGCTGGAACCCGGTGTGGCAGGAGGGCGGCACTCATGGTGCTCCCAGGGGCCGGGCCCCACGCCACTGCCTTCCCTGCTCCCGCCTCCCACCTTGCCCCCGTCTGCGTGGTACTCGGTCTCGTCAATGTCCAGCAGCCGGGCCAGCCCGAAGTCCGTTATCTTGACGTGGTTGGGACTCTTGACCAGCACATTCCGGGCAGCCAAGTCCCTGTGCACCAGCCGCACTTCCTCCAGATAGCTCATGCCCTGGGGCGGGACACAAAAGCGTGGGCTTCTGTCAAGGCCAGCGGGGCCTGGCCCGCTCCCTGGAAACCTCCCACCCCTCACCCTGCAGGGAGACAGACCTCGCTCCCAAGGCCTGCAGAGCCCGGGCGCTCAGCACATACCTTGGCGATCTGCACACACCAGTTGAGCAGGTCCTGGGAGCCCAGGCGCCCTCGGTGTTCTCGGACGTGGTCCAGGAGGCAGCCGTAGGGCATAAGCTGTGTCACCAGCTGCACCGTGGAAGTGAGGCAGATGCCCAGGAGCCGGGACACGTACGGGGAGCCCACACCGGCCATCACATATGCTTCCTGGGGGCGAGGGGCACGTGAGAGGGCATGGGAGACCGTAACCCCCCAGACCACACAGCTTCCTGAGGAGTGAAGCATGACTAGGTACCCTCCAGGGGAGGCTGAGTCACGGGGCTCAAAGTGTCTCCTCAAAGCCCCGGGGAGGGAGACAGAGCTTCGACCTGCTAGCCAGGGCTCCCGCTGCACTCCCAAATAGACAGGGTGGGAGGACGTACGTCCAGAATTTCTTTGTTAGCTTTCGGCGATGTGTTTTCTCTCAACACTTTGATGGCCACAGGGATCTTCACATTTTCCCCATCTGGGATCCAGATGCCCTGGACAGAAAGACGATGTGAGCAGGAAGAGGGCTGACCAGACTCCAGGGGGCCATCACTCTTACCCCTGGGCCAACCCCACTATTGAGCAACCCCCCACTGTCCGGCTCATTCTCCACCTCTCTCCCTATTACCGCCTCTAGAACTGCCCTGTGAACCCCCCAGCTCCTGGCTGGCTACCCTAAACAGCCAGGCCTGCCCCGCTACCAGGACCTTGGCTCCTCCCCTGACCTTGTAGACGGTGCCAAAAGCTCCGGATCCGAGCACTTTCACCTTCCTCAGCTCTGTCTCTTTCAGGATACGCATCTGGGCCTGGTTGGGCACAGCTCCACTCGGTGTCAGTGGCTCCACCAGCTGGGGCGAAGGGTGCCATCAGTACAGGTGGGGGGGGGGGGCACAGACCCTGTCACCACCTCCCCCCAGCAGGGCCAGGAAGCCCTGGGCCCCCCTCACCTCGGTTTCCTGCAGCAACCTGCGCATCGTGTACTTGCGGATCTTCTGCCTCCGTCGCTTAATTACGATGCCCAGGACCAGACTCACGACCACAAGCAGCAGAATGCCCACCACGGCCGTGATGATGGAAGTCACAGGGCTGGGGGCGGGAGCCGGGTCAGAGACTGGGGGCCAGTCTGGGGCAGGAAGGATGAAGGGGTCCCGTGGGGAGGGGCGTGAAGGCCACTAGCACTTGGAAAGGGGAGCGCTAAGGGTGACCCACGGGCTCCCAGCCTCTCTCCCTGACCCTAAACCCCTCTGTCCCTGCGGCCACTGGGCTGCAGTCCAAACGCATCGCTGGGCAGTCGAGCCCTCTCCATCGCGGCTCAGCGCTCTGTGCTCAGGTCCACGGTCCTAGCCCAGGGTTCCCAAACTTCACAGAGATCCCCTGTAGCTGCTAATCACAGGCGTCTGGGCCGCACTCCCAGAGACCTGGGCCTTGGTGTGGGCAGGCCCAGGGCCGTGCCCCGGTAATTCTGATGTCCTGACCAAATTCTTCACCCGTGCCTAGGTCATGATTCCCACACCTCCTCGCCTTTGCACATGCTGTTCCTTCTGCCCGGTCTCCATTTCTCCGTGGGCATCTTTTTAGACTCAGCTCATCCGGATAGCTGGAGCCCACCACTGATATCCTTGCCCCACTCCACGCCCCTTGCTTAGCCCAGGACTGGCCCATGGCAAACCTCTCATGAGCTTGCTTCACGGGCAGGTGATCGCCTAAGGCATACTCCAACCTCTTTTTCCCACCAAAACCTTTCCCAGATCGCCCCACTGCCCACAAACCAAGCCTAGCCCTGTGGCCTGGTGGTGAGGGCCTTGCACTCCAGACCTGGTGGCCCTAACCTGACTCAGACATGGCCTCTCCCCATTCTGTGCTTGCTCAATGGCCCAGAACCTTCAAGCAAACACGCCTGACCCCTCCCCCCAGTGCCACCTGTCTGCTTTCTCCCTAACGCAGGTGACAGACCTGCCTCTCATTCAACACCTGGCTCAAAGCTGCCTCTTCTTGAAGTCTCCCCCAGCCTCGTGCACCTCCATTGTTCCCTCTCAGCACCCAAGCTGCTTCTCTTCTAATCTACCTTGAGGCCCAGGTAGCTGAACGCACCTGGGCCCCTTACGGGCATGCAGCCACTCGGGTGGGAGAGGTACTGGGTGTCTCTGCCATCTCTAGCCCCCCCGCCACCCTAGCATTCCGAGCTGGCCCTCCATCCCCTTGCTGATGAGAAGTAGTAGGATGCACCGCGGAGGAGGGGACTGGGAAGGGGTATGTGTCACACCAGGGGACCCCGCCCTGCAGCAGTGACCGCCCAGCGGCTGGCCGTCCCGTGACGTGCGTCCCAGGGACTGGGCTGACCTGGCTCTCTGCTCGGCGGGGCAGCCCTTGTCGTCCAGGTCCACACAGCTGCAGGAGAGAGAGTCCCGTCAACAAGGCCGACCCACCTCCTGGGCTCACCCCAGTCTCACCGCCCGGGTGTGGCTGGGTTATTATCCTCATTTGACAAAAGCAGAAACTGGGCTCAAGGTCACCAGTGCTTGGTCTACCAGCCCACAGGGGATTTCTTCCCCAGCCTGGGAACTCACAGCCCCCCTTCCCTGGGGTGGTGGGGTGGGGATGAGACGGGCGGGGAGGGACAGCATCAAATCTAAACGCTCAGCTTTTCTGTCCATACAGGACGGCAGGCAGGACCTGCACCACCCCTGCCAAGGCTGGTGCGGCCACACCTGTGGAATTAACAATGCCTGTGATCCCACAGGTTCACCTCCTGGGACAGACCCTAAAAATCCAGTACCCCGTGGACCAGATGGTCACAGATACAAGTAGCTTAAGTGCATTAAACTGGGGGAAAGATTAAAAAGGAAACAACTGCAATCAATATCCTTCAACTAGGGGCATGGTTAAGCAATACTATATCCAGGACACAGACTGAGTGGCTAAAAGCAAAGCCCTGTGCTCACACCAGACAGGACCTCCAAGGTACATAAAGGGGGAGGGGGAGACACAATGTACACAACTATGTGCAGTATGATTCCACTTACATTAAAACACACCAAAACCAAAACTAATTACATAAGCTGAACTGGACGGAATTGCTGTTTTTGACCTACAGCAATCTTATATGACTCACCTAATATAACTTAATACATATTTACGTAAATGTGTAGAGAAAAGCCTAGAAGGATGAACACACCTGAGTGAGCCTGCTGGCTCTCCCCCTGGGAGGGGTTCCCCGGGAGGGTCCCCGAGCAGGGAGGGACGAAAGAGCACGCACGCTTTCAAACGTTACGCTGTCACATGACCGAAAACCAGGTGACACAGGATGTGATTATGCGTACTTTATACGTGACTTAAACACAACTAAATGAGAAAAATAAGACCAGTGAGTATAGTTCACTATGTTAGGAAATGGACAAACTTTGAAGGTGCTGTTATGTGGGAAAAAGAAAAACAATTCGTAAACAATACGGGTGGTCTACGAGCCATCCTGAAATGGGTGTGTGAAATACGTTAGCATGGGCACATGCTAACAGATGAAAACACTGGAGCAGGGCTGGGTCCTCAAGGGACATTCATTTATATTTCAGTTTAATTAAAAGTTTATGTGTTACTTTTGTGACCAGAAAAAAAAAAGATGAAAAACTGAGTCTCAGTAAGTGAAGAAAGAATTGTCTCCCTTTCATAATAAGAGCCCAGAGAAGCGCCGAAATAAAAGTCCTTCTTTCTGGGCCCTCCCTGGTGGCGCAGCGAGTTAAAGCGCAGCACAAAGAAACTTAAACCACTTCTGCATGAGTTCGATCCCCGCCTGCCCCGGAGGTGACCACATGGCGTGGCAGACCTCTCTTGACCCGCCCGCTGCTCCCCTCAGCAGGGTACTTCGTCTGCTCCCCACTCTGTCTCTGGTGAATCCTCTCGCCCTCCGCATCTCTGGCCTGTACCCCAGTTCTGTACGAATAAATAAATCTTAAAAAAAAAAAGAAAAGAAAAGAAAAGAAAATCTACCAAAAAAAAGTCCTTCTTTCTGCAGAAAAGACCCTCAGACTCACGAGTGGGTACAGTTGATGGGACACGGCTGACACGTGCCCTCCTCGTCTGGGAACTTCCAGATAGGCATGAAGGAGAGGTCAGCTTTCACGCCACTGGGGCAGCGGGCCACGCAGAAGGGGGGGTCCTTGTAGTGGGCGCAGGCCACACACTGGTCGGCCTCCTGAGGGGGAAGGAGAGTTGATGGGAGGCCGGCACCCTCACCCCCAAGGCAGCAGGCCCAGCCCTTGGGCCCTTTCCACCCTGGGGTAGACCTGCTCTGTGTCTGGCTCCCGCTCATCACTCAGCTCCCCACTTTCAAAGCCAGACCCCGCGCCATGGGCCTCACATAGGAATTGGAGGCCCCGAGAGGAATGCACTAGCCAAGGTCCAGCCCCAAGTGAGAAGAATTCCTGACACAGGGAGCCTCTCCGTGCTGCACCAAACGGCATTTCCAGTGAATTCCTGCACATGCCACGAGGTGGGCACTAGCATCCTAGTAAGTCAAGAATGCATGAAGCAGGCTTGTTAGCGGGCCTGGCTTAGAATTAGCGTATGAGGCGTGAGGCCTTGACCCCGGTCCAGCCACCTTGGCAGAGCTCGGAGTTCACTGCACAGCTCTTGCACTGTCCAGCTTCCCTCTCCTTCCACCCTCCTGCAATTCAGGCTGCTGGGAACCTCCCTCCAGAGAGAATTTAGACTTGGCGCCCCCTCCAATTGCTCACCAGCCTGCCAGCCCCTGCCCCCTCTACCCAGCTGCCACCACCAGCTCACCGATCCAAAGCAGGTCACTGAGCCGTTCTGGGGCTGACACTCAGCGTGGCACGGCAGACAGTGCCTGTCCTTCACGTACTCCCGGGGGAGCCTGAGAGAGGGGACAGCGGTGAGGGGGCCTGAGGGAGCCCCGGGGCACCCTCCCAGCCTCCCCGTCCTCTGCCCCACATACCCGTGCAGTACTCGGCATTCCTCCACACACTCCTGGCCCCGAAGGAACTGGCTGCAGTTGACACACTGGGTGGGCCCCGGACCCCAGCAGTGGCCATGGGCACAGAGTGGGTCGCAGGCCTGGCCCTCACCCACTGCAGAGAGGAGCAAGGGGCCAGAAGGAACTTTTAGGGGAGCTCCAGGTCCTCATGAACAAAGTGGGGGGGGGGGCATGGGCTGTAGTGGGGAGGGGCGTGCAGGGAAGAGTGTTGAGGTTCTAGCACAGGAAGAAGCCGGGGTAGTGCGGCAGGACACAGCTAGAATCATGTCAAGAGGCCAAACCAGCCCCAGCTGTGTCTAGAAAGGGGCATCAGGGACAAGAGTCTGCACAGGCCCCAGACTGCTGCTGCGGGGCTGGTGGGCACCCTGCGTGCTGGCAGCACAGGGCTCCCTGTCTTACCGCACTCATTCTCTGGCCGGTTGGCACTCTGGAGCAGGGCCTGGTGGGGGTTCCGGAAGAGCTGGTCCCAGGGCACCGTGTGCACGAAGCACAAGCGGGCGTTGCGGTGGATGAGGGCCAGCCCGCTGCCCAGTTCCCGCAGAGAGCGCAGCCCCAGCCAGCTGATGCCCAGCCCTTGCAGGGTCAGGGAGTAGGCCCCGCTGTGGAAGGAAGAGCGCCCAGCTGCAGGGCAGGCGGCACTGGCTGGCCCCTTCCCAGTTACAAAGGGTCACCCACATCTCCTTCCTGGCCCCAGCAAGCGGCCAGGTCCCATGCAAAGCTAGCTGCTGGGGTCCCTGGGGAACAGAGAACCCACCATGCCGAAGCTGCTCCCAGGCCTCCTGGAGAACCCCCTCACTCCCAGCTCCCCTCCCCTGGTGCTCACTCATGTAGAACTCGCCCCCGGATAACTCGTAGGTTCTGGAAGACACTGAGGTCAGGCAGACTGTCCGGCCATGCCGAGATGTACAGATAACCTGCAGGCACAGAGTGAGGCTGGGGTGTGAGGACTGGACGAGCGCCCCCGAACCCCCCCACCCAAGAAGCCAGAGAACCCACCTGTGATCTCCTCCAGGGTATCAAAGACTTTGAGCTGCTCAGGCTGGAGGGGGGCAACGTTGGAGGCTGGGTCACTAGAAGGATCAGGAAAGGGGTCAGCAGGGCAGGAAGGAGTGGACACGACCCTTAGAAGGGGCTCTGCTGCCTTCACCCTCCCACCCAGTAAGGACGTCACTTCAGCTCTGTCCCTCAAGCCTGGCTCTTTCCATCCTGAGCTTCAGCCCAGATCCTACTTTGGCGAGGTCTCTCAAAATATTTATGCCCTTTGCTCTAGAATCCTACTTCTAGGAATGTGGCTAGTGAGTGAGACGCTGGTGCTTGTCCCAGAGGCACATAAAAGACAGAACTGTGGCCCTCCCTGGAGGCGCAGTGGCTTAGAATGCAGCACTGCCGCCAGCCACAGCCGCTTCAGTGCGAGTTCAATCCCCGCCCCAGAGGTGACCCACATGGCGCCGCAGACCTCTCCTGACCCGCCCGCTGCTCCCCCCAGCAGTGTGCTCCGTCGTCTGCCTGCTCTGCTCCCCGCTCTGTCTCTGGTGAGTCCTCTCACCCCCCCCCCGCTCCTTTGGCCTGTACCCCAATTCTGGATGCACAAATGAATAAAATCTTAAAAAAAGAACCGCAGCTAAAAGTGAATACGGAAAACCACCTAAATGCCCGCCCCAGAGGTGACCCACATGGCGCCGCAGACCTCTCCTGACCCGCCCGCTGCTCCCCTCAGCAGTGTGCTCCGTCGTCTGCCTGCTCTGCTCCCCACTCTGTCTCTGGTGAGTCCTCTCACCCACCCCCCGCTCCTTTGGCCTGTACCCCAATTCTGGATGCACAAATGAATAAAATCTTAAAAAAAGAACCGCAGCTAAAAGTGAATACGGAAAACCACCTAAATGCCCGTCGGCAGACAGAAGCACAGCTAAGCAGAACCGCAGTGTATCCAGGCTACAGGACAGAAACCACCTCTAGGAGCACTGAGCATGGCGCGGGCACAGCTGAGCAGCCGAGGGGTGGACGCAGCCAGGCCTGGCGCGCCCGCAGCGTGCTGGACACCAGTGCCCCGCACAGACGCAGCCGGGCACAGCGGCAGAGCCCAGGCCGAGCCCAGGCCGAGCCCAGGCCGCCTGGCTGCTGCCTGGCTCTCAGCTGCCTCTCCGTCCCCGCCCCACCCCGCTCCACAGCTGTGGAAGGAGGCAGCTCGACATGAGCTGGGGTGACCGGCTCCCCAAAGCAAGGGGCAGACGGTACTCCCAGTCAGCGCCCACTTACACCCACGCTTCTCCCAGCAAGTTACTGAGACAGTGTGCGTGTGTGACGTCTCTGCCTGAAAGCCCAGAGGAGCACACTCAGGTGTGAGCGTGACCTCTGAGGGGTGAGCCCGGAAAGGGGCGGCCTCCTGTTCCTTGGATATTTTCTAAGAGTCAAAGTATCACCGACATACATAAGAAGCTCAGACTTTCGGTGGAGTTTGGTAAGTTTGGACAAAGCACTCACTCAAGTCCCTACTACCCCCATCAACACACAGAACATTTCCTTCACCCCAGAAACTCCATTTCCTCCTTGTCTGGGCCCTGCACCCCAGGGCAGGCCTATTTTGACCTCTATCACCAGAGCCCTTCCGGTTCTGGAGCCTTCCCTGAAGAGAACCATGCAGCAAAGACCCTCCCTCATTTTTTTTACTTAACATGCCGAGATCACTGAGACTGCTACATGTGTCAGCTGTTTCTTTTTATTGCTGAGATTTTATAGTAAGGATATACCGGGCCCCCCTGGTGGCACAACGGGTTAAACGCAGCACTATGAAGCTGTCTGCAGCCACTGCAGCACGAGTTCAATCCCCAGCCCCAGAGGTGACCCACATGGTGTGGCAGACTCGCCCGCTGCTCCCCTCAGCAGTGCACTTCGTTGATCTGCCTGTTCTGCTCTCTGCTCTGTCTCTGGTGAAGCCTCTCACCCACCGCACCTCTGGCCTACACCCCAGTCTTGTATGCATAAATAAATCTTTTTTTTAAAAAAGGATATACCACCCTTTATTATTTATTTTCTTTTTCCCTTATTGATATCAAGCCCTTTCCTGCTTGAGGCTATCAGGAATAATAGCTGTGAACTCCAGGAGAAATTTACTTTCTCTGGTGGTTCGAGCTTCATACAAGCGTACGTTTACAGATGACAGGCCTTTTATAAAGCAAACCCTCCAGAAGTCCCCTGCTCCCCTGGTCTCCAACCTGGCTCCTCACCTTCCTCCCTGCCATGCCCCAGAGATGCTGCACTTCTGGGGTCCTCAGGAGTCAGTGGCTGCCCTGATGGAGCCTTGGGCCAACATGCCCACCCTTAACCTTCAGTGTCCTCACCCTTCAAAGCTCTCCGGCAGAAATGCCAGGCTCCCGAAGATCTTCTTGCAGCCTTTAAACTTCTTGATGTTAGCGCTGGTGACCGCCCTCGCCTCCCGCAGGTGCTCCATGCCCAGGCCATAGCACTCTGTGGAAAGGGGGGGCAGGTGTGAACGGCCATCCCAGACCCCACTTGGGGCACCGGGAACTCAGACTCTCGGGCCCTGTCTAGTCTCTTCCTGGGAAGGAATGCCCCCCACATGGGCAGGCGATGGAGGGAAACTGTGGGGTTCCTGGATAGGCTCAAAGGTGGGGGTGTGTGTGAAAAAAGGATGGGACCCCCGGAAGGCTGGGACAGAGAGGCGGGGGGCACTGGGCACCTGGGGCACAAGGCTTGCTGCATTTCTCGCACCGCTGTGTTCCATCCTCGGCTGACACCTCTTGATTGTTTAAGGGACAGACCAGGGTGCAGGACCCCACATCCGTAGATAGGTAGTTATCTGAGGAGATCAGGATTATGGTAAATATAACCCTGACGCGTCCAGGCTACAGAAGAAAAACTGACAACTAGGAGCACTGAGCATGGAGCAGGCACAGCTAAGCAGCCGCGAGGAAGGACTCGGCCCGGCGGGCCCACAGGGCGCTGGACACCAGTGCCCCTGCACAGGCGCAGCCGGACACAGCGGGCCCACACGACTCGCGAGCGGCAGAGCACATGCCAAGCCCAGGCTGCTGGCTGCTGCCTGGCCCTCGGCTGCCTCTCCTCACCATCCCCGCCCCACCCTGCTCCACAGCTATTGAAGGAGGCAGCTCAACATGAGCTGGGGTGACTGGCTCCCCAAAGCAAGGGGCTGACTGTACTCCCAGTAAGCACCCACTTGTACACTATCCGCCCCAGCAGAATTAGCAGAATGGGCCTCCTTGGTGGCACGGAGGTTGAGTCTCAGCTATCGGCAGCCACTGCAGCACAAGTTCGATCCCCGCCAGGGAGCTGGCCCACGTGGTGCGGCAGACCTCCCCTGTCTCACCCACTGCTCCCCTCAGCAGTGTGTTTCGGCCAATCTGCCTGTCCTGCTCCCCACTTTAGTGAATCCTCTCACACCCCACCCCTCTGGCCTACACCCTAGCTCTTGTGTGCATAAAAAAGAATTACTAAAATGCCGTTTCTGCCCAGTACTCACAGGGACAGGCGGTCACACAGCTGGCACCAAAGGTGTACCGACCCTCAGGGTTGGGCATGGACTCGAAGGTGTCGGTGTTGTAGATGACCAGGGCTGGGCAGTGCAGCTCACAGATGCCACTGTGGTTGAAGTTGAGGCAGGCCTGGGTGAGGGTGGGAAAGGCAGCTGGTGGTCACTGGACTGTTTTTTAATCCCGGTGGACCAGCGGGAAGAGGACATCCCAGGTGGGGCCCCCTGGCACCCCCGAGGCGTGGGGCCCAGTGGCCACATACCAGGCAGTCGGAGTGCTTGGGGCCCGTGCAGCCGGCAGCACACTGCTCGTGGCAGCAGTCAGTGGGCAGCGGGCCCTTGCAGCGGGCACAGCCACTGGCACAGACAGTTTTCGTCACTGTCAGGGAAAGGGCAGGACGAGAGCTGGGTGGTGGCCAAACACAGGCCCCAACCAGCACCGCCCTCAGGGGTCACCTCCTCCCTAGGGAGACACTGAGGACTGGAGTCCCATCCAGCCCACGGCACCTTTGTGCCTCCCAGTGTTCCCTGCCACCGACTCTGGCTTCCCTGGAACTCACAGTTCTGACAGTCCTCAGAACCTGGTCCCCAGCAGTGGGAGAACTGACAAGCCCGAGAACAAGGCTGGCCTGGGGAGAGAGAGAGACGGTGAGCAAGTGGCAGAATGCACAGTGACGGGGGAGCGGGCAGGAAAAGCAGAACCCCAGAATCAGGGGTCGAGAAGCAGAGGAGACAGGACAGAAGGGTCAACGAGCTGAAGAGATATGGAGAGTTGAGACAGACCAAGAGAAAACTAGGGGCGAAGACAGGGAAGGGATGGGAGGATTAAAAAAAAAAAGCAGGCTACACAAAAATATGTAAAAATAAACTATTATAAATTTTTTTAAAAATCAAAAGTAATGCTGAAACAGGCAATACAAGCAGATGGTAAAAATAATTCAAAAAAAAAAAAAAAAAAAAGGCAGGCGGGGAGCACGGCTTACAGGTCCGTGAGCGGTCGGTGTCTATCTGCAGCTTGCTAAGCAGGTTGTTCCTGTGGAAGATGTCACTCCACGAGACATTTTCCTGGTGGCAGAGCTGGGGGTTCCGCTGGATCAAGACCCCTCCCTTCAGGATCTCTGTGGGGGGGCATTAATCAGGGGCTCTTTCCAGTCTGTTACCTTCTGCCCTCCTTTGCGGCCCTCCTGCCTTCTAAAAGGGGATCAGGCCTCTTAGACACCCCCAGTTTCCCAGGGAGCAGAGACAAGACCTCCAGCATCATGAGGCCTGCCAGCAACCCCCCACCCACGCACATGAACAGCGAGAGCTCTCGAGAGGACTGGGTGGTCCACGTCAGGGCCGAAGGTCTTCTGCTTCCACCTCTAACCCACACCCTGCTTAGCCATTAAAAGCGACCCTGGGCCCTCCCGGGTGTGCAGCAAGTTGGAGCGCAGCACCGCAAGGTGGCCGTGGCTGTTTCGGCTCGAGTTCCAACCCCGGCCCCGGAGGTGACCTCATGGCGCGGCAGACCTCTCCTGGCCCGCCCACTGCTCCCCTCTGCAGTGTGCTTCATTGATCTGCCTGTTCTGCTCCCACTCTGTCTCGGGGGAATCCTCTCACCCGCCCCTGCACCTCTGGCCTGTATCCCAGCTCTGTATATATAAATAAAATAAAATCTTTTAAAAAAGAAAGACAGAGCGACCATGGGGCCTGAAACGCAGCCTCCCTAACGAGCTGCACAACCTGGAGTAAGTCACTCACTTATCTTCCACAAGCCTCAGCGTTCTCATCTGTAAAATGAGGAGCGCACTGACGCTTCCCTGCCAAGCCTGCCGCCAGCCGAGATGGGCAGGCGCGTGCAGGGCGCTCGGCTCAAAGCGTGGGGCACTGTCAAGAGCCAGGCCTGCCACGTACAGCTTCATGAGTGCTTCACCGCACACGTACACGCCATCAAAAGAAGGCAAAAAACTAGCTTGCATTCTAATCCCTAGATTCTGCAAGCTGGCGCAAGTTGTGCTTTCCTGGGAGAGCAGAACTCTGCAATCTTTACAGGGGGGCCTTCCACCTGGATCCACCAGAAGGGGTGCCATTTCCATCACACAAAGCACCCCCCCTTGTCTCTCTCTCTCTCTCACACACACACACACACACACACACACACACGGCTGCTAGTGGCCTGGTCAGTTCTCAACACCCAGGGGAAGGTTTCCGTGATAACAGTGGTCACCTGTGAGGCTTCGCAGCCGGAGCTCCCGCAGCCCGCCCGGGGTAGCCCCCGGGGCAGCCCCCGGGGCAGGGGTGCTGCCGCTGAGCGGGTCTCCGTTGTCCAGCACAGCCAGGGCGTACTTGTCCTCAAAGAGCTGGGTGCCTCGCACGATGCGCAGCCTCTGTAGCGGGACCTGCCTCACCTGGCTGTGAGCTATGAGCACATAGCCCTGCACCTCCTGGATATCCTGCGGGGTTGGGGGAGGGGGGCTGAGGCAGACCTAGGGCCTGGAACACCACCAGCCCCCCTCCCCAGGCCTCCTCCGGTTACTGCGTGCTGGGGATCTTGGGCAAGGCCCTAGCTCCTAAGATGGAGCTT